TGATCAACTTTTCTGCTGCTGTACGTGTTGTTATCAAATATTCCAGTCAGTCGCTAAAAAATTACCATACCAGAATATTTTTTACAAGATCATTGCAAAATTAAAAAAGGAATACGTACAACTGAATGTCAGTATAATGTTCAGTTAATTTCTGTTCATTGGCAAATGATGATCATTGTGATGATGACAATGAAGAACTGCATAAGACTGGCATAACAAGATGACTCTTTTAGCAAATATACTCTAAAAGCTTCCGGGTCAGACTGATCCAGAATCCGGGTACTATGTGAGGCTTAACCCTTGTCTGGGTCAAAGGAAAACAATTATTGTTTAAAACTAACATGTATGCTTGTAACTGTCACGTTTGTTGGTTCATTAAATTCTAATGACCTTCAAAAGCTACTGTTAAGCAAGTAAAGTACGTCGACCAGAGGAGGTTTCTAGTTGGATTTTAAAAGAAATATGAACACGCCATGCCGTTGTTGTTAAAAGATAATATATGCGACATAAGATGTCACAAACTTATGAGTGAAAAACTGTATATCAACGTTAGCACAGTTAATGGTACATAGGCGGTATTTGCACGCGACATCAATTTCCAAAAATATGCTGTTACATAAAATCCCCTGTCGCCACCATTCGCCCTATTTGTGTAACATCTTGTATAATTGCAAACGCAATATTTCTTCCTGCATTTTTTCACATACCCGATGTCATAATTGCCGGTATTCTCGATACTGTTTTCTCTGGAAGGTTCATCCAATATCGCGGCATGTATAAGGAATATTAAATTAAGGATCGCCGCGTCTCGTCTCATCATTGAATTTATGTCGGGTAAAGAGAGTGGACACATCCGACTTAGAGGCTACAGGAGAGTGGGCCCGTCATCACGGCCCGGAAAGTTGGACTTATTTTCATTGCTCGGACACTGTCCTCCGCCAAGTGAGCGATGTCGGGTGACGTTAAATCCTTAAAACATAAGTAGAGCGCAATGTACTCGTTGTGTTTAATGAAGCATATTTCCAGACCAAGGACAAGCTCTCTCAAAATCATATTAGATTAAGACAAAAATGACCGTGGGGGGTAAGGCGAGCAGATTTTTTTTCTGAGAAAGTCGACAAAGACGTCATCGTTTTCTATAACATATACACGTTTTAAGCAATTAAGCAGATACCTCACAGTAAATTAAATCCATTCGATCCACAATGTACCTCTGGGCTGATTGAAATTAGGGATTGGGCTGGGGATGAGGTTAAAGGGGGTTAACAAATGTTTCACTTTAGACAATTTAGTTTACAAGAGATCGGCAAATTAAGGACTGCGTAAGATTCGATCTCACTCTGCCATGCACATATTCTTTATCACTATACCGTCAAATTTGGCGCATAGTCCCTGTAAAATAACGCGGTTTACTAAATTGCTAAATCAAGACAATGTTGCACAGATCGAGACGATATCAGTTAACGAATAAAAGCAGGCTAATAGGCCTACTTAACATGAAGTTAATACCTTAGATTGTCCGTAGTGCTACATTAACAAGAACGCAAATTTAGTCATTGGTGGAGTGGGTGTTGAAGTCGCCGTGTGATGAGCGCGCACTGTCGGCGGTGGGTAAATCTTTTTAATTAGTGGAGGTACCGCTTGGCAGTTTCATTGGACAAACTTATACTGGCCAAGAACAGCCCGCAGAGTCTCCTTTCCTGTCCAGTCGTACACAGCTTGACACAACCTGACAAAGCGGTACGAATGCTTAATTGGAATTGCGTGTCCACAGCTTTCCGTCCACGACGGACGAAGATCGCGACAGCTTCACAAGTAAACAAATCCAAGACAGTTTCTCTCAAAAAGCTCGGGAGAGAGTTTAATTTGCTGTGTTGTCTAAGAGCTAGTGCGGTAATCAAAATATGTGGATGGATTTAAGAATCAAGTATGTTTAGTCAAAGGCAAGACGTCACCCACTCCTTTATCGGCATCAATATCATCCCAATCAATCGTCCCATGACTTGTTGGTTTCACGTTTGAGAAACTCGAGTAATTCGCTGGTACTTGAATACTTTCAACAGTATGCAAACTACGTGTACCAGCTGTCGCAAAGTGATGGATGCTGTCGTTCTTTATGTAGTCCGCTTGAAAATCCCTGACATCGTGTGATTTCACTGTGAACAAATTGATATCTACCCCATACGCCCCACCTGGTATTGTTAATAAACCACAGTCTACACTGTGCATTGGTACAACATAAGGCTACTGTTATATGCACATTCCAAGCTATAGTGAGGGGTGAGCAACAGCCCTAATTCGCTCGACACTCAGGGCCCGAACATGGCACTGGGAAGGGCTAATGGCCTTGCACAGATTTTAGTGAAGGAAATACTTGGGTCACAGCTGACGACACTCAGATCATTGTAGATATCTGCCCGGTGCATATTTTTCTTTTTCTTCCTCATTGCTGAAAATGTTCTCACTACGCGTTATTCGTTCATCAAAAACTGGTCAAGATAACCGATGATTTGAAATTATATCTCCAAAAGACACGTGATCAGTGATACGTAGTGAGAAGATAAGTTTCCACACTGTGGTTGCACCAAGGCCACGGTTGTATCATATGGCCGACACTTTGCCATTGCCGAACCAAAACATTTAAATAACGCTTTACTAACAGGAAGTGATAACCTCGCGGTCACAGGTCTCCACTGTGTAGCCAATCACAGTGCAAAGCCATCAGCCCTTCCTAGCATCCTGTTCGGACGGTGAGCGACGAGCGAATAGACCTAATTCACAAATCTTAAATCTTGTTCCGTGAATCCATTGTAATTTATTCAAGGTAATCTGTTGCAAAGGGTGGTGCCAAACTATTTGGGATTCCAAGCCTCACTTTTAGCTTTTTTTATGTGGCTTAAAACATTTGGATATAAGATATCACAAATTTAAAATTATTCTTCATTTATGCTTGCGGTGAACTTTTATTTCACTGCTGCTATTTTACTCTCAGATTCCCGAGCTATATAGGCCCAATCACTTTAATTCAAGATGGCTGTTACACATGAATACAGTCTGTTAGCCGAACTGTCAGCTTGTTTGGTGACACGTCGAATCAAAACACGCCATCTATTTAAGATCACATGACTGTCTGGGAAGGCTGTGACGGTTCCGGCTTGTGAGAATGACCCTTTGATATAACGTGGAAGGGATCAAATACTTGGTTGGTTATGATTAAAACTTACGTTGTTTGCATCTGCTCCATTGGTGATACTTCGGACTCCTTGAAGGTAAGACTAGTCGCTCTGGCAACGTCTTGGATATCGTCCGTATGGCAATCAACCGTTGTTTTTAACGCCTTTGGTGAAACTCGAGCGCTTGTCACACTTTGACTTTGGTCTTAAATCAAAGCAACTTGCGCGAGGACTATTGGTTATAATGGTCAGGTCGGGAATCAACAGTCTAGTGCTAGTGGACGAAAATATTGCAAAGATTCAGCACTGTGTTGTGTTCAAATCAAAGTTTGATATTTCGCAATAACGTGCTTTCTTGGTTTTAATGTTTATCATTTTCATGATGTTTTACCGGAAAGCAAAAATTTTTGAAGCGCTTGACACGATTCCATTTGAACGTTTCGACAATCCGCACCTTAAAATGCAAACGACCGCAAAGTACTGTAAAATAACTTGTAATTAAAAAAAATGAGGACTAAATAAACGATGAAATGTGACTGGTGTGGATGTTATATCTCTTTTTGACACAAGTTAGTGAATATACAAAACGCTCAAATCAATTTTTCTATACTTTCCCATTTTGAATTTTCATTTTTTATTTTATTTAATTTTTAATAAAATTGTTATTTTATTTGATTTATAAAGAAAAGTGTTAAAATCGTTGCCTTGCTCCAGTTTATCAAAACACGTCCAGTACAGTAATGTGTTTTTATGCAAGTGCAGTTCCGCTTTTTTGGTTCCATTTTGGCGTAGAAAATAAGTCATATCTTGTATAGTTTTAGTTAATTTAATGTTTGGTGATCTAGATGGTAGATTCTGCACGTGTCGTAGAGGCCACGTCATATCTTTAACTGGAAGCGGACCTAATTTCATAATTTTATTATCATATTTTATACGCAAATTTGTAACAGTTCGGTTGTCTGGAACCACTTGGGGGAACTGTCTTGCCTAATCCGCCGATGATATTCCAGTTAGTTAGATTATGCTGAGTCTATATAGAGATTAACGAGTGGTTTGCCAAAGTACAATAATCATGGTAATCAGTTTACAAGATTATGTTCCTCTCAAAACGTTGGGGTTTCATTTCAAACCTTCGGTGGTTATAGATTAGGAGGTGACTGACGTCGGCGGTTTATGAGTGGATGAAGGATGCACCGCAATACCCCAATGTTATCAGAGGACCATTCCTACACTTTTCACCGGTGTTAACACTTTTGGTGTTATTTCGAAACTGTTGGTGTTGTTGTTTTTAACAAGAGTTTTTACAGTGTGGGTCTGCGTTTGATCAGTCGAATTGTCAAAGGTATTGGCTCCAACTTTGACCAGAGATGTGTGATTTGCTCATTGCGATGCCAGGCGTTGCACCCTTTTCACTCATTTGACATACAAATTTTGTTTTCACTTCTCAGTTTTGTCGACCACAGTTTAAATTCAACAGTTGTCTGACAGTGAATAGACTGTGGTATCACTTCCTAAGTGACTGTGAGGGATCGTATCAGGCCTTCCGAGTGGCATTATAAATGACTGATTGTTTTCCTGTTTCTTAATATAATAAGACAGTAAGATATCTTACCTATTTCACTTCATTCATTTTACGGAATCATTCTGCAATTTTTGAAAATAGTCACGTAAAACATGTTAAATAAAGAAGCAAAATAATATTCAAATTTATACTTTTATAAAAAAAAAAGCTTGACTATTTCATGATTGCTCATTATTACAATTCAGTTGTCTTTAAAAGAGAATGCATTTTTCCATGATGAACATAATGTATTTTATTTTCCATAGGTGTAATATTAGAACAGCCGTCGTCAGATGAGGACGAGATGATTCGACTCTCATTCCAACATATAAACCAAAACGGGAACATCTTACCGTCAACCCGATTGGATTATACCGTGGCAAGGATAGCCTCCACAGATCCCTTTGCAGCCGTTAAAGCAGGTAATTAAGCCCGCCTATTCAAATTGCTTCCTTTTAATTGCACATGTTACAGTCATGACCGAATGAGAGACTTTCAGACGCTTGTGGGAGTAGATCACAGACATATACCGGTCCTGCTTCACAGTATTACGCTCGCTCAGAACCTATGCACGCACGCTCAAAACAACGCGCGCATGCTCAGAACTGCTACAAAGGACCGGTATGTTTGCCGCCACCAAGTGTCTCAAGTTCCCTATTGGAATCGCCCTCCATTGAAACAAACAATGATTTGATTTGAGATTCATCCCTCGTAGATGCACATAGAAACCTTCCTTAAAAGTAGCATCTCAGTTTTAAGTGTGGATCACTGCTCCTGGAGTCTATTTGATATTCTAATTACACGCAAATAATAAAGTTTTGAGTAAATATCAATTTTATGCAATGTTGCTGATTGTAGCTCAGAAATTTTCTGCAGTAAAAATAGCACGGACAAAGCATTATTTAACATTCTGTATTTTTAAAATGTGTTTGAAAAATATGGCATGAAGACTTAAATGGTCGGTTAGTCTTATAAAAAAAATTGGAAATGGATATTCTCCATAAAATATAACACCAATCGAATTTTTATTAGAATTGAAAAACTTCAACGGCCGGCAATGACCATCTGTCTTTGAGATGTTAATGCTAAAAAGATCGGATCTACCAGACCTCTGAAGAACTACGAAGATTTGGTCGTCCACCATTTACACAATCAAATTTGTTCTCTGATAAGGTCACTTGCTTCGGGACAAATGATTTTTTTTCATGAAATTCAATCCTGGAAGTCCGGAGATGATTTTTTCTTAAGGACACATGCACAGTCTCAAGTTCATCGGCGATGTGAGCCCCCAGGGACCGATCTGTTGGCGGCCGAGTCCTGCTAATGATATCGGGTGTAGAAACACCGAAAGGCCCTGGAAATAGCGGCATCAAATCAAATTAGCTGTCGCTGTTTCCTCAGAGATATGGCCGGGGTGATTTTGACCTGGAACAAAAGTGGATGTTTTAGTATTGAAAAGGCAGGCTGGGACGTGAAAATCGTGACTAAGTGAATAAACTTTCAGTGAAGTTCAACTTCAAAGTATGGGTTAAGTTATCGATAAATATCATTATTTTCCTAAGAGTTCTTTCCTCCACTTTTTGTTGCCAGTATTGTTATTGAAACTAATAAGAGAAAAAAACAGCTAAAAATCTTGAGCGTGAAACACAAATCTCGTGAAAAGGCGAGTGCTTTTTAAGTAAAGAGCTAATTATGAACTTGTTGCAATGTTTGAAATAAAAACTATGTAAATACAGGTAAAACTCGTACCACAAGCGCTTTTTAACCAATGTACATATGCCTACATACCACAAGCGCTTTTTAACCAATGTATATAGGCCTACATACCACAAGCGCTTTTTAACCAATGTATATAGGCCTACATACAAGCGCTTTTTAACCAATGTATATAGGCCCACATACCACTGACTGTGTACATACCCGGATTTCTTTTCAGAAAGCTCGTTAGAACTGAGATTGGCTGGTCCTATTTTCATGATTATGGTCATACCCCCTGACGTAATACCTTAAAGTTTTGCGCCCGTAACCATAGGAACCGAAGTGGTAGTATAGTTCAAATCCATTTGACCATGGTCGGAGACACAGTGAGTCGAATGTTCTGATCGTTTGCTAGAAATGAGTATCGAGATCACTTCACAACCTAATTTATTATTAAAAGATAATGTACTCCTTGCCTGACCTAAGCCAGTTTTGCTCATAGCACACAACAAAACTATTACATGTCTGTGACATTGTGACATTGATTAATAAGTCCATTAAGTTTGCCTCTGCCATCAACCTAATCGGCATCAAGCAATTAGAGTGAAAGAAGAGCTTTTTTATGCTAAGTCAACCAAAGGACAGCTTGCAAACATTTTGCGTAGCGTCTTCATTCCGAGAGCTGTTTTATGTGGACAAGACTGACGTCCTGTTTTATTGAGTGTGGGTATACACGCATTTCGGTCACGTTAAAACAAAAATTAGCACCGGCACAAACAAACGTCAACGTTACACAGACTCACTAATGAAAAATGACAGGGAATTTAAAGGTTTCACAAAATGTAATGTTTTACTCAAATTTGACAAATCGAAATATAAAACAGTCTTTTAACTCCGTTATTGTGTTTTCCCGTAATATTAAATTCACTGCTCTATTTAAAACTGCATTTTTCAGTGTACGTGGATAAACCCTGGGCTGTTTGATGTTTATACCTTTCAGATGGCAAAAGCTGCGATCTGTGTGCGCTAAACAAGTTAAAACCCATATAGCCGGCACACACCGAGCTGTCAAAACCTGGAGCAATACTCGCCCAAGATTTTTTCTCCCAGATTTACGTGCACAGGCCTAAGTCATTACAGACAGGTCGGGTTTTGTTTTTATATCTTGTCTAAGGAGTCAATTCCAGCAATTGGAAGGACATTTCCTTCTCACAACATCTCGACGGGGCAATATCGGACCCAAAAATCCTTCCTCCGACCTGCCCAGTGTCAACAACCAAAATGGAATTTAAAACAAACCCGCGATGGTTGGCCCCACTTTTACTCCGTGTTGCCCCCGAACGATCTTTTAAAAGGCACATCACCGAGCGCCTTCTCCCGTATCCTTCCGCCCTTGAGGCTATTTGAATAATTATTACTCGGTATTCGTGCGCCTAATAATGACTTGGCGGATCGGAGGCGCGTTGGCGTATTGCTCCCAGCGAACTCTCGCTGTCCCTATTCCTTCAATGTTTCCTTTTCCTTTGGTAATGCTGAACATTTATATTCTGTGAAATCTCTGCATAACTTGAAGGTTCCCATTCAGTGTTTAGCAAGCGTATATGGCGTACGTATATTGCACTGTTCTTGAATTTTTTATTACTGGATTATTATGACAAGACTACTTCTCTCTTGTGGGCAAATGCCATTAAAATTAATATGGCTTTGTTAAGGTTTGGGTGAGTATTATTGACAGAATTTTTCCGAAGTAGTTAAAGTCACGCATAGCCTTTTCAAAGATTCGGGTAAGAAAGCTCGCCTGTTGGCGTTTACCCCTTGTACACAAAAAAGGCTTGTCGCGAGTGAAATGTTGTGAAAGGGAAACGCATAGGATTTGTTTTTAATTCTCAAAGCTGTAGTTAATGATCAATTTAATGTTAGTGCAGCTGTCGAACTGCGCTGCTTTTGAATGACTGAGATCCTAATGCATGTACTTACGTGTTTCTAAATACATGAGAACCTGTGCCATGGCAGGCACAGCGTGTCAGGTGTAACATTTTTGTAACTGTAAGATAAAGCAGTCTTGATCAAAAGCATGTGGGTCCTTTTGGAGCAACTTCATTTAAAACGAAGCCCCCACGATTTTTAAAGTTATTTTCAATGGAGGCACAACCACCGCCGTTGCAAAATGTCACAAAAATGACTTGCATTTCCTAAGCCTTGCTCATGATAAACTTCTACAGAAAGTCTGGACACGTATTCTGATAACCTCTTTATTATACTCCGGTGTAACACCATGGCCTGTGCTAGATTTTATATAGCAAGACAAACCTACAGATTTATAGTTAATTCTTAAATGAAAGAAAGCAAGAAATCCAGTTTCGGAGAAAGTGAAGACTTATTTTTGTTGTTTCACGTTGAATCTGGTAAAATGTCCAAATTGTCGTTTCACGTTGAATCTGGTAAATGTCCAAATTGACGTTAAAAAATATAGCCCGGGGGCTATGCAAGTGTTGGGCAAGAGCGTGTGAGCGGCAACGCCAAATCACCCCGAATAAAACTCCCCTGCTGATTGGCTTGCAGCTTATAATGAAATAAAACCCAATTAAACAACTTAACCCATACGGTCTGGCATCGGCCTCCACTTCCATTGAGCATTATACCGTTGCGATGGACGGTGAAGCCACGAGCCTGCGCGTGTTTGTCGAGTGAAATGGCGGGAACGTTTGGTGACAATTGAGCACATCTCTATGGGCGTGCGTGCGCGCAGTAACCACGGGGCAACCCAGGTAATACCAACACAGCTGTGAGCGAGATTCAATTACCGAGACAACTTTTACACTTCCTACGCTTGCGCTTGAGTGCGTATCACAGGCGAATTTGCTCCAATTTTCGCCAGATGTGCCGGGGGATTCGGGTAATATTTCATCCCGAAAGATGCACTCGGTTCCATTTGGTTGCATGGATACCCGACCGTGCAACCCTTCATCCTGTTGGCATCAACGTCTACAGCGCCGAACAGGAGAGGGATTCTTGGAAAATTGGCAACTGTTTTACAAGACACGGGCATTGGGATTAATACCTTGGTACATGTATATAACTGAGTTCCCGTTCATTGTGCGTGAATATTAAATGCGCAAAAGGAGACTCCAACTGATCGCAAAGAAACCGCGATTTGGCTAGAATTTCATGATGCATGCATAGCCTTTGTTAACTGGAATTCGAACCTGATTCATCAGAAAGTCCGGGAACACAAACGGGGTTACTCAGAGCCAGTCTGGACGTCACGAAGTTTGTGGACCTGTGCACATTCTATCCTTTCCTAGTTTTATTTAATGTTTTATTTAATTGTGTGTACAATAAGAGTACAGATGAACAAATTTCCAAATTCAATTATGCGTGCAAATAAGGAACATCACGTAATTTGAAATTATAAGTTCCTTAAAGGCAATTCATATGCAGTCATTTACAAACGATTTAAGACGACCCGGAATTTTGTTTTTTATTTCCTTCTTTCTCGCTGGTGTAAGCAGCACCTCTCCTAGTTTGAGCAATGAATTTGGGCTTGTCACACAAACCTTCCCCTATCCCCCTTTGACCATGGCAGTGAAGGTAAAGAAGCTAAGCTTTACCAGGAACCTTGAGTCCTGGACTGCAGAAGACTAGATGAAGGTTTATTTTTAGACAGATGAATCAATGGTGCAACAGTTTGTATCACGCAGAGTCCATTTCCAAAGACGTAGTG